AACTGTCGACTCCTGCTGTAAAGCCGTTGCTCGTGGAGCTGGGTCCTGCAGGGACACCCACGAAGAGCAACCGAGTTGCTGAGGCCAACAACAAGCCTCAGGGTACTTAAGAATACCCGATATGATGTTAAGCTAATTCATCCTCAATTAATTGAATAACTAGGCTTTTTTTTTTCCTGGCTTTCCAGTTCCATGTCCTGGATCCCCGAAGGTATCGGCTTTTCCAAGTGTCCCAGACATGTCCCCGAAGAAAGTATCCGCAGCCCATAACGTCTATGTCTCTCCACTTCGCACATCCAAGGTAGTGCAGGATTTATCGGAGTTTTTCTAAACTTATGCCGCTTATAATTGTTAGCAGTATTCGACCTCCCGCTATATTCTGATCAACTCTATGATAATCTCATTCAAAGGGTCCTCCTTTTATAGGAGATATAATGCGTAGAATCTAAAAGCCTAGATTTTTGAGAGTCGAGAGATTGTATTTGTAATGAGTTCTTGATTCTTCTTCCATCCGTGTTGTTTTGCAGATGGATGCTCTCATCTCACACAGCTCGAAGAGCTACTACGCCTGCGTGGGAGAGAGCACTCACGCCTACCAGAGCCCCTCAAAGGACCTCTCCGCAATCAACAACCGCTTGAACAAGTAACCAAACGAAACAAAACAAACACCGACATATATTGCCATTTGATTTACACATATTTAGACAAGAGAAAAAAGCCACTACTCCTCAATGTTGTGTTTCTTGTTTGTTGCAGTAGTAATAAGCCGAAGAGATCGCTGACGTTTGACATAGACGCCGGATTGGTGAGTGACTCCATGGTTGCAAACAGCCTCTCCGTCCACAACGATGGTAGCAGTGCGGCCTCTTCTTCAGGTGCTCCCCTTAAAACAGAGCAACCCGACTCTTGATTTCTCTTTCTACACCTTTTTTTTTTTCTTGTAAAGCCTTAGGTTTTGCAGAGTTGTGTGGTATTAGTTTTTCTTTGGTAGGGAATGAATGGAATGGTATGATGAGCTCGTGCGGTCGGTTTTATTGTTCACTGTAGCCGCCATTTACCCTTTTTAGCTTTTGTTTTTTACCGCTGTCATGCTGCTGGCTCTGAAACACATGGGAAACTCTTATCCATCTAGGTTAGTAATCTAACGTGGCGTCATAATGAAAAAGAATTGAATTCGGATTTACAAACTAAAATTGTTCGTACATCAATCAAACAAACAATGTTCGTATTCAATCGTATATCCGGCATAATTATACTAGAAAATATGAACTAGCACTACCAAATTCAGAAAAATAACCATCAAATTTCAAAAAATAATTGGGAAAAAAAACCAACACAAACTCTTCTACTTCTTTTATAAATGAACTGAATCTGAATGCAGAACCTTGGAAGAAAAAATAATGCAAAAGTGAAGAAGACCCTAGAGGCATGGATGGATGCATATGGATATAGGAGGGCGCCTCCTACAAGATTATTTATGATAACTTAAAAAAAAAAAGCCCATTACGTCTTAATGTAAAAGACAGTCAAGTCATCCTAACTACACACCCCTCAGCCAAACCCCCCCCTTCCTCTTTCACCCACAGTCTTTCATTCTTGTTGTTTTTGTCCCATCAAAGAACAAGTCTTTCCTTTACAGTTCCGAGCTCCCTACCCACTACCCGAGTTTTTAAAGCACAGAAAACAAACCCTCGAGGAGTTGAACCCGACTGCTTGAATTGTTAAAAAGAAAGTTCGGAATTCCTTCAACTCTCGATCTCCAATCAAAGTTAGAATAGCAGCCAGCTGACAACATCAGGCAGTTGCCCACTCAAAGTAATGGCACCGAGCACCTCTGGTCGCAGTCCAGTTTCCGCAACCAAAGAAAACACTCCCTTGCTTTGGCCCGGGTTTCCTCACCATTCCTCTGCTGCTCTTTACTCCGCAGAAGCAGAAAGATTGTTGATACTGAACAGCAGGGACCTGGACGAAATCCTTCGGCTTAGGGGAGTTGTAAACGGGAGTCACACTCTCAGGTAAATGATTCTGATTGACCCCGTGTGAAACATCGGGTGTGTGGTGCCACATCAGCGTGTTTGTGATGGAGAATTTGAAGCCACGATGCATTAGGAGGGAAAGCAATCGGGCAGTGTTTTTGGCGTCATCCAAGCCGGAATGTGCACGTCCCTGCCACACTAACCCGGCCATCTCAACTGCTTCCCTAAGGTTGCAGTTCACACCTCCAAACATCTCACGGAAGGGAACTTTCAAGTTTATCCATCTGAAGAAAAGAGACATAAGAAAGAACACAAGGGTCGAGTCAAATCAGTAAGGAAAGATCATGATGTAGGATTCTGAAAGAAACAGTTTGTTAAACAAAGTTTTCTATTACCTGTTAAAGTAAGGCGGCTTTCGTATTTTCTTGAACCGACATTCTGACTCCAGCATCACCCGACAATCCCAGTTCGACCATGTCACCACTACGAAATTGGAGTTCTTTATCCCTTTCTTCTCAAGCCACTTGTCATGTCGGAGAAGAGCCTCACTCAAGGTGACACCTCTGTCAACCTAAAATTATAAGCAGTTTAGAACTAAGCAGATAACTGTAAAGCGGAGTGTCATAGGAAAACACAGAAGAGGCACTCACACAACATTCTCAATCAAAGATGAGACAAAGAAATAATCTAATAGTCCTTATCTTTCACCTAACAATGAATGCTACACCTGACAGATGTATATCCAGTTTTCTTCACTGCTAGTGTTGGCTACGCCTTCAAACATGAAAAAAGGAACTGCTTTCTCAGACTGATAGCTTGTCCAAAGGGAACAAATCTCCCAGTTTACAGTCTCTTTTCTACCAAAACCTTTATGAGAGTGACTAGGCTCGCATTGGCAAAATACTTTTCATAACCCCAAGATTTGAACCATTGTGTACCAGAGTCGAGAAAGCATAAAAAGCAGAAACTAAGAGGGAGGAGAGAGAGCCCTTTTAACTCCTAACACTATCAAGGACAACTGAATAAGAATAAGCATAATACTTACAAATATAATTAATTGATGTCCCTTCACAGCCATTTTTATTTGTAGTCCTCAATTAAAAAATGTCTCTTTACATAGCTTTGTCTAAGGATTTTTGAAAAGTTGATCCTCCTAAGAACATATTTCACACAGCAACGCAGCCTCAGTAGAAAGCATGAGCCAAATTTAAAAAGAAAACCTATTAAACATTAAAAAAAAAAAAACTGGTAGCTGTATTTCCCTCTAAGACGAGCTCTATAGAATTAGGCAACTAACCTGAATCTGCTGAATCCCTGTTAAATCCTTGCAGAAATCACTCAGAAGCTGATTGCAAGTAGGTCTGACATATGTTTGGAAACATGCTTCTAACTGACCAGTCATACTATTCACGATCACAGATGGAAACTCTATTATTTCTTGTGGGTGAGGGTTTCTTTCCTTGTCACACGTCGCCTCAAAATCTATCACCACAAAGTACTGGAAGTCTTGATATTGGAAATTGTAGGGGTAAACTTGAGTACACACATTATATGGTGCATATTGAAGTCGTGGCTCTACTGTGACAGGAAAATATTGGTTTCCATAAGCATCCAGCTGGTAATGCTGCATCGTAGGAGGCTCGGGATAGAAGGCTGACCAGCCACCAAAATCATGCACAAGGGTTGGTTTACTGTAAAACTTGTTTACATGTTCCAAAAACACATTGCTTATCTGCTGAGCAGGATCTACCACTTTACCAGGGTGGGAACATAATTCGTCTTTGAGCTCAGAGGCAACTGTTGCCACATTAATGTTAGATTGTATATTCTGATGAAACCCATGAGGTGGGAAGCATTTATAGGATGACTCCGAGCTCCTTTGTAAAGTTACTGCAATCAAGATGATACCATATATGGACTTAACCACAGATCAACACACAATAAATATTATCACCAAAGTTTTGACCGTAAGAATCAGAACACTTCATTTATGGATGGCCAATGACAGTCACGTCATATAACTCATAACATTGATGCTTCCTCAAATGCACCACTGTAAAGAAATGCTCAAAGATCTCCATTTTTTGGAGCACCAACAAGAAATATGCACAACCAACACTGGGCAGACTGACATAAACAGACAAACAGCCAAACAGCCAAAGAACAAACCAATTCAACTTCTACAATCCATTCTTCACCTTGACATGCCTCCTTAGGTGTTCAAGATTTTAGATGAGTCAAACCGAGAAGAGTTGGAGGCTTTATACTAATTACCCGCAGCAATCGATACCATCAATGAACCCACAACAATTGCTCTCACGAGTATCACCATGCACCAATCCGTAAACACCAAATTCTATTCAACAATGAGCATCGACCAAATAGTTCTCCAGGCATCTGGACAACTAATAACCTTGAACAAGGACCACAGCGCCAAAAAAGACAGCTAACACATTATCAATAGACTAGTTGCAGATATACAGATCACGATTAACACCAATAAGCCTCACTTGATTGCATACACGACTATAACTAGCCACACACAGTGGCAGACAAAAGAATTGATCGTACGAGAATACCCAAATAAGTCCATAAAAGAGGGAAAAAACCCTAACCCAAAATCAATTCCTTTTCAACACGACCAGAGAAAAGGATCCAGATGACGAAGAGGACAGTAAGATCATAATACCCAGAAATTAAACTTCACGAGGATGAAGGAAAGGCACAGATTATGGGGAAAAGGCTCACCTTTGTTTTCAAGTGCGGCCATTGAGATCTTGATTGTAATTAAGATCCGCCAACAAGTACATGAGATCGCCTCCTCTTGAACCAAACCCTATTGAGATCAATCACCACAAAAAAATAAGCAAACCGAACACGAATTCGGGACGGGTCGTGTACGAAGTAGAGAAACACCAAAAGAAGAACAAACCCAGAATCTGAAATCGAATAACAGCTCAAAAAAATCGGGGAAAATCGGAGAAACAGACCCACAGAGAGTGCGAGAGAGAGAGAGATACCTGGTGCGAATTCCAGAGACCGCACAGGGAGAGAAGAAAGAGAGAAGCGCAGTTTATGGGGAGCGAGAGAAGGGAACAGAACTCTGATTATTTTATTTATTTATTTATTTTAAGAGTGATTAAGAAGTAATTACCAAGGAGTTATCTAAAATAATTCGACATATTATAAATCGATCATTTAATTAATAAGATTAACGCTAATAGAGACACAAAAAACATGGGGTTTTGGTTCGTATACGGGAAAAGTACCGGTGGGCAGAAGTAAGTGGGGCCTACAATTGGGATTGTAGATTTAACGGCGTATATCATGACGCCACGTGTCACTCTTCCTTGTGGATGCCAACAACCCGCGGCGATCGCGGGGTTGTTCGACTGACGGCACTCCGTTAAGATATTTTTTATTGTTTTCCTTTTTGTATATCTTTATGTGATAATGTTAGGGTTGTTAATTTAGATTCGACTTTCAAAGTTCGATCCGGTTCAGTTAAAAAATTAGCGAGTTTTGGATTTAAGTTTTTTTGTTCGAAAAAAAATTGGAAAATCAAATTTCGGGTTTGATTCGGATCAATCCAAAAATCTAATATTTTAAAAAATCTAAAAAAAATATTTTTAAAAAATATGCGGATCGATCCGGTTTGACCCGATATGAATCCGTAATTAGGTGTCAATTTGGATCTGAGACCTAAAGTCGATCCGATCTATCCTGAAAATTAGCTAATTTTGGATCTAAATTTTATGGACTGAAAAAAATCGGGTTTTCAGATCGAGTTCGAAACGGATTTCGAACTCGAGTCGGACTGACCTGAAAGTCTGATATTTTTTTTTAAAAAAAGAAAAGATTTATAAAAATATTTATTTAGGTCGGTTTGGTCCGGTCTAAACTGACTCGAACCCATAATATATAAGTCAACTACATAGACTCGGAAAAAATTAGACCAACCCAAATCCAACCCAAACCCGAAACCTTTAGACCGAGTATGGGTTCAGACCGAATCAGGTCAAAACAAAATTAAATAGACCCAAAAATAGATCAACTGAAAACTCTTGGATCGAATGTAGACTCGGATCGAATCAGATCGGGTCAGATCGAGCCGACGCGATTGACATCCTCAACAATGTATTGGGAAAAATTAGGAAAAAGTAATAATTAGAAGGGTTAAAAAAAAATATGTTCTGGCCCCTTTTATTGAAATTTCAATATGTTGTCGGGTCCCTTTTGTATTTTTTCTAAAAAGGAAAAAAGAGCAGACGACGGGTTCCTTCCGTCATAAAATCCCTAAAACCCTGAACCCTTCCCTTCCTTCAGCCTCTGGTCTTGTTTACTGTCGGCTTCAACCTCTCGTCTCTCTCCACAGACATACGGAAGAAACGGTAAGAAGACGAAGACGGAATAGCAATTTGGTGGTAACATCGTCTTCCATGGCGGCGAAGGGGAAACAGGACAAAAGTGCGAGTGTGGAGTTCCAGGAACTTCACAAACTCGTCAGGCACCATATAGAATCGTTCGATTACATGACGGACAAAGGGCTTGAAGTTATGTTCAATCGAATCCAACCCGTCTCGGTTTACGATTCTGCCACCGAGAATAAGCTGAGAAATATCCTTTTTTCCTGCGGTTCTTTCCTTCTTTTGGTTTTGAATTTGCTTGGGAAGCTGGAATCCACGAGTTTCTAGGAAATTATTGCTAGTTTTATGTCAATTCAACGAGTTATAATTGAACCCTTGCCCTGTCAAATTCGGGGTTTTGCCCTTTGGGCTTGTTCTTCGCAACCTTCTTAACTTTGGTATTAGTTTCTGGTTATGATGCATTGGTAGAGATGAGTTTATAGTGCTGCATTTGTGTTGATAATGTTTCCTTGACAAGTAAGGTACTCTGGTTAGATAATCCTGTAGTGTTCCGACCTCAGAAGGAGAGTTTGACCTCAACGTCAAGGAAAGAGTCTCTATTTCCCTTTGAGGTGAAAATTTGTTCTTTTTTTATTTTATTTATGTTTTTCGATGTATGAAAGCCCATCTGAAGTGGATTATTGATATGAGATCATGTCGGCTTTTCATATAACAGTGTAGGCAGGCGAAGATTTCATACACAGGAACGTTTTTGGCGGATGTTTGCTTTCAGTACAATGATGGGGTTGTTGTCAGAGAAAGATATGATTTTGGGCAGTTCCCGATTATGCTTATGGTGAGCAATCTGTCCGGTTTGTTTTTGTAATAGAAGATTTTGGCTACTTTCTTTTAATTAAGAGACACAATTCTTGCATGTCAATAAAAAGTTGAAACCTGAATGAAACAAGTCATCCTGAGGGAGAACAATACGCAAGATTCACTTCTCTGGCTGGTTGCTGTAAGCAGCTTAGCTCGATGACTTTTCTGAAACTGTTAATCTGATAATTATTTCGATACTCTGTGTAGTCAAAGCTTTGCAACTTACGGGGTGCTGATTGTCAAAAGCTCTTGAGGTGCAAAGAGGTAGCTTCTGAAATTGGCGGGTAAATAAACATTATTCTCTCCCTTCGTAACATGATAGCTTCATATCCAGGGTTTTAGTTTATATGCATGTTTTCTGACTTGGGACTATTTACTGCTAAGAAGGCCAGACGTATGTATGTCTACTTTATGCATAGCTTAGGGAATATAATTAGACACAAAATAGAGTGTGGAGAAAATGCAAACTGCGTACACCTCTTTTGCCAATGACCATTTTGTTCTTTTTTACTCATGACAACTTGTAATAGCAAATCTGTTCTGTTCGATACTCCCTGTATGCGTCATTTTTTTTTTAACTAGCGTCTCCTTACGATACTAAATTTAGCTTTCAATGCATGTAGGTACTTTATTTTGAATGGGATTGAGAGAGTGTTTCGATGTGTTATAGCCCCAAAGCGAAATCATGTAAGTGAAATGTCAATTTTGCACATTTTATGATTCCAGCCAAGGATATTGCCAAAATTTCCCTGTATCGTGAATGCTTTTTGTAGTTTCCCTGACATAGTCTTTTTTATAGCCAACGGGTATGGTACGGAACTCATTTCGAGAGCGCCGGGAAGGATACAGTGATAAGGCAGTTGTCATAAGGTCTTTACAGCTTAGCCCTTCCTTTTCCTTGATGTTGGTTACAAAGTGATTAACCTACATAGAAAATAAAAAAATTCATGTATATTTGTTGTTTAGCTCATGTGATGGTTTTCTTGTATTTATCTTTTAGGTGTGTAAGAGATGACCAATCATCAGTCACAGTCAAACTGTATTATCTTAGGAATGGAAGTGCCAGACTTGGATTTTGGTAAGTTAGTCTGCAGATAACTGTGACATGTCGTTTAGTTTGAGTTATGTTTTGACAACTTTGGGCAAGAAATTGGCTGTATTAGTGCTGGTATTCAATTTTGATTCTTAATGCGCATAGGATTGGAGGGAGGGAATATCTGCTTCCTATTGGAGTTCTTCTCAAGGTATGCTCTCGTGGTTCTAAAGATGTCTTTTATGATACAAAAACTTTACTTAAGATTTTGGTTACGAAGTCATTAATTATGCTTACAAAAAGAACCCTTTTAGCCTTCCACTCGTGTTTTAGGATGTACACCAGTTTCTGATGTAGTTTAAAAAATTTGTTCTTTATTTTTTTATCATATATTCGTAGGCTCTCATTGAAACCAATGACAAGGAAATATATGAAAGTCTGAACTGTTGCTACAATGAGGAATATGGTAGAGGAGAGGGAGCTATTGGAACCCAACTTGTTCGGGAAAGAGCTAAAATAATTCTTGACGAAGTGCGAGACTTGGGTCTCTTCACTCGGGAACAGTGTCGGAGGCACATTGGTGAGTTCATGTCTTAGTAGTTATCTATCACCACCCTAAAAATAGAAAATCTAATGTTTGCTTCTTATACCAACAGGAGAGCACTTTCAACCTGTTCTAGATGGGCTGGAAAATGAAAGCTATTCAATTGTAAGTTTACTTGGTCGTTCTCATTTTTCATTTTAGTTTTTGGGAAAGATAAAAGAGAATAGTTTTTGCTGCAAGTCATTTTGCATTTATGTGATTTGCATTCTAGTAGGTTTTCTGTAACCCATTTCTATAATTGAAGATTTCTTGTTAACGATCTTGTCTGTTAATTCTTGTATAATTAGGTTGCTGAGGCTGTGCTCAAGGATTATATATTAGTTCACCTCGCCAATGACGATGACAAGTTCAATTTGCTCATGTAATTTGTTGCTTTCTTCTGACGATGGCTTCCACATTAATTTTTTTTTCCCTTTTTGTGCTCATCATTATATTTGGCTTTGTAGCTTCATGATTCAGAAACTTTTCTCGCTGGTAGATCAAACTTCATTACCAGACAATCCCGATTCGTTGCAAAATCAGGAAATTTTAGTCCCGGGTCACCTCATAACCATTTATCTCAAGGTACATATCCAGAAGGTCCAAAGATTTTCAAGGCACATGTTTCAAACCGAATACTGATCATTATCTGGGGTTTTGAAAATAATGCCTTCTTTGTTTTTGCATCCCCATAAATTTCTCTGCATTGACATCAACAGATGAGAAGTTTTTAATCACTGAGAAAACAGTTCATTGTCATTGCCTTCACCTGTTATATAGGATAAGCTTGAAGAGTGGCTGCGCAAGTCCAGAAGGTTACTCCAAGAGGAGTTGAGTGACAGCAGCAAGAAATTTTCATTTGAAAGCCGTTAGTCTCTCCCCTTTCCGCTATCTGCTGTCCTGTCTTCTTATTATCTGAAAATATAAGAAATTCATCTTTTCTGCTATTAATTACCTTATTTGTGTTTGCATGAAATTGGCAAGACATGTTGTTAACTTGATTAGGTCTTTCTTATTATTCGTAATTGAATGCAGTTGCTGATGTCAAGAAGGTCTTGGGCAAAAATCCTTCAAAGAGTGTTGGTGGGGCTATTGAGACAATGTTGAAAATAGGAAGGATTGCTACACAGTCGGGATTGGACTTACAGCAGGTATACATTTTCAGTTATGATATTTGCTTATGAAGTTATAAACTTATGTTAGTGCTGAGCTCCTCTTCATATGATTGAGTAGTACTGAGATTTATGTTTTTTTAATGGCCATCAGAAAGCCGGATATACCGTTCAGGCAGAGCGATTGAATTTCCTCCGTTTTCTGTCATTTTTTCGTTCTGTTCATCGAGGAGCTTCTTTTGCCGGACTTCGTACAACAACCGTGAGGAAGCTTCTTCCTGAGTAAGTCTTTGTCACTTCATATCTACCAAACTCCAGAAATGATTAGTACTGACTCTGAAATAACTTTTTTATATTTTTCCCTGTTTTTGTTTGTGTACCTGTAGGTCCTGGGGTTTTCTTTGTCCTGTACATACGCCTGATGGTGAGCCATGTGGATTGCTTAATCATATGACTTGTACATGCGGTGAGTCTCTCTCTTGTTTATTAGATTCACCATCAAGTTAATACGGCTTGCTTTAATGGAACATTCTCCTGATCATGTCCGTCATTTGTTGGATATAAAACAATATGTACGGATTTTGAAGTCTTTAATTTATTTTCAGGTTTAGAACTGGTAGAATTGATATAATATTTTGCTTGTGGTAATATTGTTTTCAGGGATCACATCTTACTTTGATTCCCAAGGAAACGTCAAAGATTTCCTGAGAATGAGAAAATCAATTGTTGATGTACTGGTTGGGGTTGGAATGGTGTCCGCCTTGCCAAAGCTTGTCCGAGCAGGACCACCAGAAGTCATTTCTGTTCTTTTAGATGGCAGGATTGTCGGTTATTTGTCTTCAAATTTAGTTCCGAAAGTTGTCTCTTATTTACGGAGACTGAAAGTGGCAGCTTCTTCTGTGGTATGGTTCATTTGATTTTAATTTCACATTAGTTTTTTGTCCTGACTATCAACTTATAATCAAGGAAAGCTAAATATTCTATCACTTCTCAGATTCCTGAAGACCTCGAAGTGGGATACGTACCTATAAGTATGGGTGGAGCATATCCGGGATTGTATTTAGCAACATGTCCTTCAAGATTCGTTAGGCCTGTTAAAAATATATCTATAGCTTCTGGTGAAAGTCAGAATATTGAACTCATTGGCCCGTTCGAACAGGTAGCAAGAAAGTGCTAGGGATATTGTTTTTTATATATTTACAACCGAAAATTTCACTTTGTTGGGTCTTGTGTTCTCCAATTAGGTCTTTATGGAAATAAGCTGTCCTGATGGTGGAAATGGAGGAAGGAATAACTCTTTTGAAGCTACTCATGAAGAAATCCATCCAACCGGAATGCTAAGTGTGGTTGCTAATCTTACGCCCTGGTCAGATCATAACCAAAGTCCTCGTAACATGTACCAGTGTCAGGTATTATCTGATGCATGTTCAACTGCAAATGGTGTGGAGCTTTCCCTGCTTAAAATTTTTTGAAAAATATTATTCAGATGGCGAAACAAACCATGGGATTCTCTACTCAAGGACTCCAATTTCGTGCAGATCAGAAACTTTACCACTTACAGGTAAATTCTCTTTTTATGTTTGTTTTCGGAAAACCTGCCTTATTGTTTTTCATGCATAGTAAATGAATTATATTTTACTATTAGACTCCTCAAACTCCAATCGTGCGGACAAAAACTTACACGAAGTACAATATCGATGAGAATCCGACGGGGACTAATGCAATAGTTGCAGTCCTAGCGTATACAGGGTAAGACATTTATCACACAGGGAATTTTCTGATGATTCACCTTACAACGTGCTCTCTTTTATGCAATTTTATACAATACTTGTATGATTTGACAGATATGATATGGAAGATGCTATGATTCTTAACAAATCATCTGTGGAACGAGGGATGTGTCACGGACAAATATATCAGGTTTGACTTCTCATTCTCGATTCATTAACGATGTGCACTCATCTCTCTTCTGCTTATCTTTACTGGTGTCCATCTGATCCTGCAGACAGAAACGATTGATTTGTCAGATCAGAGAAGCAGATCAGATAATGCTAAAAAGAGTTTTAAGAGGAGTAACCTTGACAAATCAGTTCATTCTCATATCGATGTCGATGGGTTACCGTATGTTGGACAGGTATGGGAATGCTCCTCTCTCTCTCTCTCTCTCTCTCTCCCTCTCTCTCTCTAGTTAAAGCCAATGGTTACAGAAACTTACTATTTTTGTCGAATCTGATGCACAGACGATACACCCAAATGAACCGTATTGCAGTATCCACCATGAGGTAACAAACTCGTTTAAGACTATGGTCCGGAAAGGTACTGAACCCGTGATTGTTGACTATGTCGCTGTTGACATGAAAAGCAAGAACCACCCTCGGAAGGTAAGTTTTAATCCCTTCAAATATCGTAAAGCACATCCCAAATTGGCGTTAAAATCTGATTTTGATTCTCTGAGCAGGTAAATATCCGTTTTCGGCACACGAGAAATCCCATCATCGGTGACAAATTTAGTAGTAGACATGGGCAGAAGGGTGTTTGTTCACAGTTATGGCCTGATATCGATATGCCCTTCAGTGGAGTTACAGGGATGCGTCCTGATCTGATCATAAATCCTCACGCATTTCCATCGAGGATGACGATCGCTATGCTTTTGGAGTCTGTTGCTGCTAAGGTGATGACTCCAGCTATAAATAGATCTTTTAAAGTTTAAACTCAAAGCTCACTATTCTTGACAAGATAACATCTTGCTCAATTTTTCAAGAAGGAACCTTACATAAGACATGTTGGCTCGAGGAGTCTCCCTTCTACTGCTATTTCTATTAGGACCTCGAGTTCTTGCTTGATTCTGTCTCTTCTTGATACCGTAACTTTTAATGTGTTGTTTTTTACAGGGAGGAAGTTTGAATGGAGAGTTTATGGATGCGACCCCGTTCCCGGATGCTGTAATAAAACCAGATGGAGAGAACAAGAAAGAGTCGAGCTCGCTTGTTGATGATCTAGGTTCCATGTTGAAGAAAAAGGGTTTCAACTATCATGGAACCGAAGTGTTATACAGTGGGGTATATGGTACAGAACTCACCTGCGAAATATTTATTGGGCCCGTTTACTACCAGAGGTTGCGGCACATGGTTTCAGACAAATTCCAGGTTTCGTATTCTGTTTCACCTTCATCTTCTTCGAAAATCTTCTTATCCGTTCATGTTAAGCTTCCTCTTGAATCCGTTCGTTCCTGCTTTCACAGGTACGATCCACGGGACAAGTGGATCAGATAACTCGGCAACCGATCAAGGGGAGGAAACGGGGAGGAGGTATTCGTTTCGGGGAGATGGAACGGGATGCGATGCTTGCTCACGGATCTGCGTATCTATTGCACGACAGGCTCCACACCTCTTCCGACCACCACATTGCGGATGTATGCTCGCTATGCGGAAGTTTACTCACGACATCGGTCATGCAGGCTGACCAGAGGAGAATTATCCGAGAAATCGGAGGATTGCCGCCCGGAAGGGCACCGAAAAAGGTGACTTGCCAAGCTTGCCAGACGAGCAAAGGCATGGAAACTGTTGCTATGCCTTATGTGTTTAGATACTTAGCCGCGGAATTAGCCTCCATGAACATTAAGATGACTCTTCAGCTAAGTGGCAGAGAAGCAGCTTGATGATGAACTTCATTACGGTTCACGTTTGTATGTACTATAAAGATTTGATTTCTGCTGCAGTTTTGTGTCATTAAACATTTTTTTGAATTGGGGATATGACTATTAGATTTCATTTCCGCAGCAGTTTAGACATTAGTTGAGTTGGGGATGTCTGAATTATGTTCATGTTTACCATAAAAAGAGATTTTTATTTTTATTCGAAATTTTCGATTAATTTTATATTGGGTTCGTATTCAATTCGAGTTCTTCCCATTATACATTAGATTCGATTTATAGTTCGATTTGTTTTGGTTTTTCTTTGATTTGACTATTAGATGGGGTGAAATGTGAAAGAGAGAGAACTTTATTAAACAACCTATAATTTTCCGGCTGACCAGACCATATAAATAAATATAGTATAACATTTTTATATCCAAGTCTAATTCGAATATTATGTGTAAACAAATAAGAGAAAGAAAGTTCTGGGATATGTTTTTAAATATGACCACTTTTAAAACAAAAAATAGCAATAATAAAGATAATTATTAATCACCAATACAAACATTATAAGATTCAAACCATCAAAACACCATTTTTCATACTTCATATATAAAAAAGGGGACCGAGACCAAAGTCTTCACCGGCAACACAACCAAAACCACCGGCAACAATTTCTCTGTGTCTAAGACCCGAGTTCCTAAGACAGATTAAAAATCTGGACAGGCCAATGCCTCTTCCGACCGCTCCGGCAGATTCCGGTAGCTTCCATCGAGATGTCGATACTGCGATGCTCGGAAGCACGGACAATGCTCACACGGAGATGAATGCTTGTCACGGGACACGCCTCGGATCCGATGACTCCTGTTCTGTCCGAAACAGGCATAGTTTCCGGTGCCAAAGCTATGGGTTCCTGAAATGTTAATACCGTCTGTGCCCAATGCGTTTTGGGAGTGTACGGAGATGTGGACAGAACGGTCGGGTTTTCTCTGCAGAACCTGTTGGTGAAACCTGTGTCAAACCAGAGAACAATTCCGTAGCATTGTTTCGTCGTTGCTTCCGATCCGTCGGGCTCCAGTGTAGTTGATGCAGTGAAATCTACTTCGTCGGGTTTCATCGTTGCCAGATCAAATGTCTGCATATGACGAAAAATAATGGTTTTAAGGAAACTCGGATCAGGAGTTTTCTTTCATGGGGGAATAGAAGGGAATTGAGTAATATGAATAGGTTATATAACCTGGAGAAGGGCGTGTCGGGTTACTAATTCACGCTCATCGATAACGTCGACAATGGGAATTCTAGCAGCATCTCCCAGGAGTTCTTTGCCGATACATGACATGTCAAAGCTGTAGACATTTTCCCAGAATGGAAGACTTGTGGCCCCTCTTCCAAAACCCGCAACATACTGAGTCAGAATTTTGAGACGAGGAAAAGATGAAACTCATCAGTTTAAAGTATTCTGTGACATGTCGGGACTTGAGGAGGAAAAAGCTTACCATTGTGGCTGTGTCGGGGAGGATTGCACCTCCGGGTTTCAACCACCGATCTCTTGCATAGAGAACTGAGCTGAGCATTGACTCGTAGAGAAGGCAATATCCCATCCATTCGCTGACTAACACATCAACGCTATGAGGTTGAATCTGTACCGTTTTATCAAGATCTTCAACCATACAGTGCGCAACTTCAAGTACACCACAATGGGTAGTGTCGTGAAACACTCCATTATCCTTGGCAATCTGTTGCGGAATAGATGTGAAAAGGAAAGATATGGAATATATCAGATAAAGGTATCAATACAAACACAGGATATCACTCTGATAGAGTATAGCGAAGCTAACCTTGGTTGCAACATTGGCCATCTTCTCACTAGCTTCAACTGCAACTACCCTTGAAGCCCCTGCTTGAGCAGCAAAGAGACTGGAGGCAAAGGTCAATGGCAAAAAAAATATATCATAGACCAATCTTTTTTGCAACTACTTTTTACGTAACATATAAGCTGCCAAAAGCAAGAGGTGGTATCAAAATTTCTACATACCCATATGTAAAATGAATAGAAACATGCAAACTATAGATCTGCATGCTTAACTTTAACCATTGTTTTAGTTCTGAACAACAGGAAATCAAATACAATAATTGATCAGGGAAAATTTCCGAACAGGATGACAAGGAACTCAAAGGGAAATTTATGTCATTGTAAAATGAAAACCATAGCTGCTAAACCCACCTCAATATTCCAGTCCCACAGCCAACATCCATTACCACAGAACCACGCAAGAGAGAAGGATTCTTCACAAGAGCCTGCCTGTAAGCTTCCGTTCTCACCTGCAGTCGAGAGAAATCAGTTGAAGTGTCTACATTTTTGTAACTCTAAAATGTTGACATGGTTCCAGGAAACTAAACTGCATACCTTATCACTTATCATCTCCCTGTGAATGCCAAATGAACTATAAGACCCAAAATAGCTTTCATTCACCTTCCTGATGTTCCTAGCAATTACACTTCCAGCACAAACTCTTGAAAGCTCCTGTTTGTCACCATTACTGGATAACACAGAATCCGTTTCTTGATCTATTCCATTGACTGTCAAAGGATCTACCGAATTCTCCTTTTTGGCGTTGCCTTTTGATGGCAGAGTAACATTTTTACTTCCGTTACTATCACATGTATCATTGTTTGACATTGATGTTTCCCCTATAATCTCATCGTCAATGTTAAAGCTTCCGAATTTCTGCAAATCCTCCATCAGTTCCATTCTGTCAATCGAGACATTAGATTCTTCCTCATTTTCTTCGTCATCCGCAAAGCTGTACAGAAGTGAATCTTCAGGCAGGACAGGCTTCAGATACTTCTCATCAGCCCAAAGAGATCTAACATCTTTGAGATCAATATTTTGCTGCAAAGCTTGATTTGGTTCACATATAAGCCCAAAGTTCCAACATTTGTTCTTAGCCACCTGTTACAACACATTCATCATTACAACAAATCTTATTGAGCTCAAATGGAAATTAGACCACGAAAGGTCCTTAATTTATAACACATTAACTCTAATCAATCTTAGTGATACTTATGTCTTGTTCTTCAGACAAGAAAATTAACTTCCTAAAAGCTACAACAGGTTGATTCATTGGAACCTCACAGCTCAAAGCAACTACAGGTTAGACTACAGACTAGATTTCCGAAGAAAAAAAAACATTCGTAGTTTCAATCTTTTCCCCAAACTAAATTCGCAAAAGACGACAAAGCCAAAACACGAAACTTCACTAACCTCAGACCGAACATAGTTGATGAGCTTAAATGAGGAGTAGAAATCCAGCTTCAGTTCCTTCCTAATTCCATGGAAATCGAACCGGTGTTGCACAAGACAGTGTTCAAAGAGAGAATCACACGAACAGAACCGAGAATCACAGAACAAGCACAGGAGATCGGATTGCGAGTCTCCGTCTTCTCCCTCTCCTCCGACTTCTGCTCCGTCATCGTCTTCTGTCCAGTCTCCCCAGTCTCCGTCTTCGTCCGAGAGGCTCTCTTCTTCGTAGTTGCGAAGTTCGTCTTCCGTAGCCATTGTTGCCGACGCCAACGCCACGAGAATTTGTTCGGCGTGGGTTTAAGAGAGGGAACTGGGGTTAATCTATTGTGCAGTGATTTTAAACCCAGTCGGACCGTCCGGTTCAACCGGTCAAATCTCGAACCGGATTGCTCGTCGTTTTGGTTTATCCCTAAAATTAAAAGATATTGAATTTGTTGAATTTAAAAAAAAATAAATTGACTAAATTTTGAATTTATATCTATTTGAAATCATATTTTAAAATTGTTTCCTTTGATTTTTTATTTTTTATATTAAATTCAAATAATTTGATTTAGAATTGATTGTCAATATTTTTTTAGAGATCGGTGACTTACATCGAACCCAACAATTTAGGTCGATTTTTCTAATCGAACAATTTAGAACAAATTTTGTTATTTATATCAAAAGATCTAGATCGTATGTGTGATATTGACGGTTTAGATTTGTTGTATCATATCTAATGATTCATAATAATTTTTTAAACGGACGGTTGAGATCGACTCTTTCAATCTAACGGTTCAAATTTTAGTCCTCCTGGCCAAATAAATGAGGTAACTCTGTATGTATTTATTTATTTATTAATTACTTTTCCATAAAGAAAATATTATTAAAATTAAGAATTCATGGTCCGGCCAGTTGTTCATTATCTATAATCCATGGGAAGAGTCGATTCCATTTAAAAAAACATTTTATTTAATTTTTTTTATACGATATTTTATTTAAGTTGGAAGAGATTGCGGTCATTCATAAAAAAATATCTACAATTGATCATATAACCAAAATACCAAATGTTTCGAAATTAAAATTCCATACAAATTCAGCAATATAAAATTAAAATAAAGAGGAAGATATTTCGAATTATTATCATAATATTTCATAAAATATATCAAAGATGATATTAAATAAGAAAATAAATGTGACAAAAAAGAAGAAAACAATTAATTTTCTAATAGGTAAAAGAAAATAAATGTGATTTGAAAAGAAAACAATCACTTTGCTAAATATTTCTCGTATAGCAAGTGACAGTTTAATCATTATAGCTATTAATTAACTGGAGTTTTTCAAAATGAATAAATATTTACTTGTCACTTTAATTCCAATGATATGCAAGTATTTTATTTATTTGTGAGATTTTTTTTAAACCAAGGTAGAGTTATAGGAGAATTGACATATGATCATTTACTCATTTTTACATAAAATTTAGATAATTATCATTTGTCTTATCGAATTTCGAGTGTTCTAAACACAACATCAATCTGTACAGCAGTGAAGTGATTTTTATAAGTTTTATTTAATTAAAAATAGATATTTATTCTATAAGAGGTTTTTTTTTTCTTATGTTATTTTTTTAAGTTATTATTATAAAAATTATATTTAATAATTTAATTTATTTAAATATAATTAAATGCTATCTCATTTCATTCATACATTCAAACAAGTAATGATATAAATTGTATTGAATTACATTAACATCATGTTTCTATATGATGAGATTTATCTTTCCAAACTACTAAATTTTGGAAACTTATTTAATTTAGATATTTATCTCTAAAAATTGATTTTCTTCTACATCAAATGTTTTTGTTATTTTTCTCTATCATCTAGCCAGAAACTTTCTTCTCTCTAATTCCGAGCGCTGACGATGAAAAAATATACAATATATATATATATAAAGAGGAGAAAAAACAGCAGGAGAATATTTCACTCCCTAAGACCCCACGCTTTGTACAGATAGATCTTTCGCCTCCTCTCCGATTACCTTCGCCGCTCTCTCTCTCTCTCCCCCCATTGAAGAAATTCTTGCGAATAGTTTTTACTTCTACATTTGGAGATTGTGTTCATAGTCTCGAGTTTCTCTCCCGAAGCTGTTCGTCTCCTCAGATCGTTATCCGCGTCGGTGTTTGATTTTTTTCTTTATCTCGTATTCACTGTGATTTTGCAGCGTCTGACTTCTCACGAAGATCGATCTCGGGAAAGAGCAAGTAAGTTTTCTGTGTTTCTTGAGGATTCTGAAGAAATGTTCGGCTGAATTCTTTGTTCTTGGTTCTTGCACTGTCTTAGTGTCTCTGGTTCTGTTGAATTGGATCTGTTGATTTAGCTGCTTCTCGGTTTCACGTGATTATCAGTTGAATTCTCTGAACCTCCTTAAATCTTAGGAACGCGGGGATAAGTGCAGCTGAATCGAGATGGAAGAGTATGTTCTTTGCTCTGAATCGTCGCTCTCTCTGGTTCTTGGTTTTTATGTTACTGTCAATGAATCTGTTGCTGAATATTTTTGTTGTGTAGAGAAAATGCTGTTGAGATTTTGCAAAGATATCGCCGGGATCGGCGGAAACTCTTGGATTTTATTATGTCCGGTAGCTTGATTAAGAAAGTTGTAATGCCTCCTGGGGCTGTGACACTGGACGATGTGGATTTGGATCAAGTTAGTGTCGATTATGTCCTTAATTGTGCTAAGAAAGGTAATAATTAGCTTTTATTGATCAGTCTCTTTTTTTAATTCTTTGATTTGGAGCAACACAATGTTGTACTTCATAATTTGTTAGTGCAGGTGGAATGCTTGAACTTTCTGATGCAATTCGGGATTATCATGATAAGATTGGATTGCCTCAAATGGTATGATGCTCACCTTGTGTATCTACGATGCACATCAACTTCTTGTTTCATTTCTTGTGTAATCTTTGTCCTGGGCGCGACAATTTAATGCTCTCTTTATTTCCTGGAATCATTTACCCTTCTTTTCTTTGTCCCCATGGTTCAGTTTCGTGATTAGTGGTGCTTGGACTTATGTCTTATGTTGCGTCATTCAATGACCATATATTCTCTCCCATATGACTAGGAAAATCTTGTAAGATTTTGTAGGATGATGCATTTAAAGCACCTGTTTTTTGGGGGAAATTCTTTTTTATGAATGGTGGATTTAACATATACAGCATCTTCACTTTGATTTACTAAAGCTATCTTCCCCTGCCCCCTCTGCTTTTATCAATGTTTTTACTAAATTCTTGTTTGTTATGCAAATTTCAGAATAGCTTGGCTTCTGCTGATGAATTCTTTTTGGTTACAAATCCTGAATCTTCTGGTTCACCTCCAAAAAGGCCGCCACCACCTCTTCCTGTATTAACTTCCTTATCTTCTCCCATCATTACAAATCCGGAGTTTTGTGAATCACCAAACTTGCCACCTGTAACGAGATCAGAATCTATTGAATCGCCCCAAGCTCAAGAGCTGACTGTGGATGACATTGAGGATTTTGAGGATGATGATGACATTGAGGAAGTTAATAACATCAGGATCTCAAGACGAACTGCAAATGATGCTGCAGACTTTGTGCTGAAACTGCCCTCGTTTGCTACTGGTAAATGAGTAGAGACTGCAGATTTCTTAAGTAAAGGGGACTACCTAATTGCATAAATAAAACTAAGAGTTTTTATATAAATCTAGAGGTGATTTAGACCTTCGTGTAGCCCGATCTATTGTATAGCTCAGTGAGGTTCGTTAACAATGATATTTTTTTATTGTTGTTTCAGGTATCACAGATGATGATCTTCGTGAAACCGCGTATGAAATCCTTTTGGCATGTGCTGGTGCCTCAGGGTATACATAATCTGAATTGCTAACTTATCTTTCCTTTCTCTCTTGCTTTGGGTTCTTTATATTGAATTTCTCTTTCATTATGCTCACATTCATCTCGGTCCAGACTAATCCTCCTGGCTCTTGAAACAGGGGTCTCATTGTGCCATCAAAAGAGAAAAAGAAAGAAAAGAAGTCTAGTCTGATTAAGAAGCTTGGCCGCAGTAGAAGTGGGAGCGTTTCTCAGTCACAGAGTTCATCAGGATTGACTGGTTTACTGGAAACAATGAGGGGTCAAATGGAGGTATATCTGGTTGGATTAGAACATGGCTTTGATATTCATTTATCTACATTTTCACTCTTTACCTGGCATACCTGCTGAGATAATTGTTTCTGTACACATTTCATAATCTTGCCTCTGTTTTCATGCTAACCATCCCTTGATTCGTGCATCTCTTACTCTGCCATTTCGTTTCTTATTCGTCCCTTTTCATGTGCTAATGCATTTGAGGATGTTTGCCAGTGCTATTTTCCTTTATTACCAAATGAACTGGCACAATTCTCTGGATTGCAGTTCTTTCATGTATCTGACAACCAATCCTGTGCATTCGTGCAGATTTCTGAGGCTATGGACATTAGGACAAGACATGGGTTGCTTAACGCTCTTGCAGGAAAAGTTGGGAAACGAATGGACAGCCTCTTGGTTCCTTTGGAATTGTTATGCTGCATTTCTCGTACAGAGTTTTCTGACAAGAAAGCATACATACGCTGGCAGAAAAGGCAGGTAGTAATTACATCTTCTCACATTTGATTTGTAGTTTGTGGGATTTCTTCCATTTGGACCTATTGGTTCTCGTATATTCTACCGACTTCTTCTTTTTTTTTTGGCAGTTAAACATGTTGGCAGAGGGGCTCATTAATCATCCTGCTGTTGGATTTGGAGAATCAGGTCGCAAGGCTAGTGACCTTAAGAATCTTCTGGTAAAGATTGAAGAATCCGAGGTATCTTTTCTAATTTTAGCTCATATGATTTGCTCGAGGATTAGACACCAGAAAGGTTTTCCTTTTGAATTTGTTATTCTATTTCGAATGTCAACCCTATTTATTCTTGTAGTCAGCCACATAATAGCTCTTTACTTGGGAAGTGAGATGCTGCTGGATTGCATAAACCCTTTAAATGTTTACCCAATGACAAACCTTTTTTACGCTGTAAATGACTTGCTTTTAGTTCTTGACATATTCTGGTTTAGATATATGAATAAGTTCTTTTCTCAGAAACTATCTATATCCAAAATTTAATTGGCATAAATTAGCAGTTTCATAATGTTTAACTTTATTCTTTTACTTTCTTTTATGCATAGTCCCTTCCATCTTCAGCCGGGGAAGTCCAGAGGGCAGAATGTTTGAAATCTCTTAGAGAGGTTGCTACTTCACTTGCTGAGAGACCTGCTCGTGGCGATTTAACGGGTGAAGTGTGCCACTGGGCTGATGGTTATCATCTGAATGTTAGACTGTATGAGAAATTGCTACTCAGTGTCTTTCACATGTTAGATGAAGGGAAGCTGGCAGAGGTTTGTGATATCTGTCCAAAAGTTTATGACTACATGTTCGAGTAGGAAATTCCTTCATTTGAAAATATCATATTCCTCTAGAGAAGGGAGATATTAGTGCCTTGTTATGTCATTAAGGTTTCAACTTTTTCTTTTTTGGATGCAAACTTTTCAGTTCGCTTGCTGAACTAACCCATAATCGTTGTATCATAGGAAGTTGAAGAAATTCTTGAGCTTTTAAAGTCAACATGGCGTGTTCTAGGAATTACAGAGACTATTCATTATACCTGCTACGCATGGGTATTGTGTCGCCAGGTAGTAAAGACAGAGAAACACTTCTTTATGATGATGTTGTCAACTCTTCGTGTTAGAGGTTCTAAAGAGGTGTTATGATGACCTTGTATGTATTCAGTATGTTATCACTAGTGAGCGAGGAATTTTACGACATGCTATCGAGCAGCTGATGAAGATTCCTCTAAAAGAACAACGTGGCCCGCAAGAGAGGTTACACTTGAAGAGTTTGCAGTGTAGGGTTGAAAACGAGGATATCTCCTTCCTGGAGTCTTTCTTGTCACCTATTAGAAAATGGGTTGATAAGCAGCTGGGAGACTATCATCTGCATTTTGCTGAGGTTTTAACTAAATTCCAATTATGTTCAGACACAGATCTTCTTTGTTTACTATCTTTGTTTTGTTGTTCGTGTTCTTTAGCTATGCTCTTTGGCAGTTATTTCATTATTCTGTTCTTCACGGATATCTTTTGGAAATGGATTTGAAGCATGTTCATCTTTCTCAGAGAAGTAACTAATTTGATTATTGTTTAGTATGATCCCGTTTGCTGGTGAACCGTTCATGTTATGTTGCAATCTCCTGAGCCATATATATGCATATTGTGATATTCCTCTTTTTTGCATATCTGATGGACAATAAAGTTCAATGACTATCCAGAAAATTTTAGATGAGTTTTTTTTTTCTGTGAATAACACACACACACACACGTCACATAATTCTTAGGTAGAAGCATATCGTATTCACATGCATATTATATCTTTTTTATGATAAATCTCTTTTGGATTGCCAGGCACCTTTTGTATGACTAGAACACCTTTCTTGTTAATCATTTTACTTTTGTCCAACGACTTTTGCAGGGTTCTCTTATCATGGAGGATACAGTGACTGTTGCAATGATAACTTGGAGGCTTTTGTTGGAGGAATCTGATGGAGTATGTAATATGCTTTTTGCCGGAACGTTGGTGGCAAATAGTTCTCTGGAATTGTTACTGAGAGTGATGTGTAATTTCTCTGCAGGCGGTGCAATCTACTTCCTCAGATCGTGATCAAATTGAGTCATATATCACATCATCCATCAAGAATGCATTCTCAAGGGCAAGTTGTTTTTTCTTTTATAGCCTGATTCTTCGTCAATGATGTTATCAATTTCATATGTGCTTAACCTGCTGAGCAACTGTCCTTTCAAGTAGGCACCATTTTACATTTGTCCTTCCAAAATCCTCTTGTGATGGAGGATATAATGCTGATATATGCATTTTACAGGTGTCACTTGCCATTGATAGATCAGACAGAATTAATGAGCATCCTTTAGCATTGCTTGCTGAAGAGACAAAGAAACTTCTGAAAAGAGATTCTACTGTCTTCGTGCCAATTTTATCTCAGAGGCATCCACTGGCAACTGCTTTTTCTGCATCACTTGTTCACAGGCTTTATGGGAACAAGTTGGTAAGCTTGATCCGGGTTTCCGTGTTCTTAGTGATGAGTGCTTACCCTTCCATTTATTTTTTAATAGCAAGTAATGTCTTAGTTGATTTCTGTTCCTACTTCAGAAACCGTTCCTTGATGGTGCTGAACATTTGACTGAGGATGCTGTGTCTGTGTTTCCTGCGGCCGATAGCCTTGAGCAGTATATACTGGAGTTAATGACGTCAGTTTGTGGAGAAGATACTAATGGGCCTTACTTCAGAAAATTAATCCCATATGAGGTGAGACATGCCTGTAGATGTTATTTTGAAGTCAAGGAAAATTATGAATGTGCAGACCTCCTTGTTGGCGGGGTTGAATTAAATGCATGGTTTCTTCGCTAGGTTGAATCTCTCTCTGGCACACTGGTTTTGAGATGGATCAACTCGCAGCTGGGAAGAATCTTAAGTTGGGTGGAACGGGCTATTCAACAAGAGGTAATTTTTGGGAATTCCCCCTGCTAACATGTAGTCCGTTGAGCATTGGTTTTTTGTTGAATCATTATTCACTTGAGCTTTTCTTTACAGCATTGGGACCCGATATCGCCCCAACAACGGCATGGGAGCTCAATTGTTGAAGTTTTAAGGATAGTAGAAGAGGTCAGATTCCTAACTTCATTTTCTTTTCTTGTGGCATTTTCATTTTTGGAGTCTCATCAGTTGTTTATTGGTTTATTTTCCTAATAAGTTCATTTTATAATTTATATGATCCTATTCCTATGTCCTTTTTTATTTTTCTAAATTGTCATATGAGTACGTGTCCCTATGACTTCTGTCCTCCGAGTGACATCTTTAGTTTGAACTTAGGTTGTCCTTTCAACATATTGTGATAGTGGTTTTATTGTATTTTTAATTTCCTTTTGTGTTTTCTATTTAAGGCTTATGCTTTGTAATATTACAAGAAAAAATTTCATGTATAATTGTTTGATCTCATGTCAAAATTTGTTTCTACCGATATGAACATGTCTAATACCATGTTTGGATAAGCTTTGTTGCAGACTGTTGATCAATTTTTTGCTCTGAAAGTTCCAATGAGATCTATTGAACTGAGTGCTTTATTCCGCGGCATTGATAATGCATTTCAAGTGTACTCTAACCATGTCATTGAGAAGCTAGGTAAGCACCATACACACCAATTATGGGTAAATCTGATAATGAGTTTCAAGGTCTTCGATAATAAACTTTTATTCTACAAGCATCGGCTTTCATTTTCCGTCTTTAGCTGTGGAGGAATCTGATCTCTACATTTCACCATTTCAGCAAGCAAGGATGATTTGGTTCCACCTGCGCCTGTCCTTACTCGTTACAAAAAGGAGGCTGCTATAAAAGCTTTTGTTAAAAAGGAACTCTTTGACGCAAAACAGCCCGAGGAGAGAAGGTCGATTAACATTGACGTTCCATCAACCGCAGTTCTCTGCGTCCAGCTCAACACTTTGCATGTAACCTCATCTCTCACTCTCTCAAATCTAGAATCCTTTATTAAATGGCTGCTACCTCTAACGTGATCGTATGCTATTTCACAGTATGCAGTTAGTCAACTGAGCAAATTAGAAGACAGCATATGGGAGCGCTGGCTAGTGAAAAGGCCCCGCGAAAAAATTGTCATTAGTAATGAGACTAACTATGCACCTAATTGATTCTGATGTCTGTTTTTCCTTACGAAAATAAAAGCTCCCTTGGTCTCTTCGCATGAATGCTAACTTTGCACTTTTTTTGCTTATGTATGAAGGGAAATCTTTGGTTGAGAAATCCAAAAGTTTTAACCAAAAGGAATCTTTTGAGGGGAGTAGAAAAGATATCAATGCAGCTATCGATCGGATTTGTGAGTTTACCGGTGAGATGCCTCGCGTCTACATACTCTCAGAAGATAAATTACTCTGTGATTTTTGCACTCTTTTGTTTGTTTGTATTTTTTGCTAAAGTTGTTTTTTGCTGATTGCAGGAACTAAGATTATCTTTTGGGATTTGAGGGAGCCATTCATTGAAAATTTGTACAAGCCTAGTGTTTCTCAATCTAGATTGGAAGGATTGATCGAATCACTCGACACTGTAAGAGTTGTCCCTCTCTCACGATAATGTTTATGTTTGTATGACTTTTTGGGCAGAAACCCGGAAACGACCCTACGAATATAAGCCTAGAGAGGTAATTTCTCGACATTGCTAATCTTTAACCGTTTATGGTGCCAGGAACTTGGTCAGCTATGTAGTGTCATTATGGAACCACTGAGGGATCGGATTGTCACCAGTCTGCTTCAAGCATCACTTGTCTGTAATTTCATCTCACTCGGAATATTTTTTTACACGATAAACACGCTCTCTACTATTACCTTCTGATAGATTTTTTGGTAATCTAACAGGACGGATTGCTCCGTGTACTACTAGATGGAGGTCCAGCTCGTGTATTTCACCCGAGCGATTCGAAAATGTTAGAAGAAGATCTGGAGGTCTTAAAGGTATTCTTCAACTAATCTCACTTGTATAAAACTACCATTTGTCTTGTTTGCTCAGTATGATTATTGTTGTGAATAGGAATTCTTTATTTCGGGTGGAGACGGGCTTCCACGAGGAGTGGTAGAAAACCAAGTAGCTCGTGTTCGTCATGTTGTAAAGCTTCAAGGTTACGAGGTTAGTACCAAAAATTAACATATTGAGTCCTGACATGAAGTAGGGGGTGGCCATTTCCATTATACAAAACGGACCGAACACACTAAAAACCGAATATAAAAATAATTAAAACATCCTTTGGGAAACAAACATTTTTATGAATAAAAACCGAACCAAATCTAATATAAAAACAGAATGGTTATAGATTTTCTAAACCCAAAAATAACCAAACCGAAATTTAAAATGGCCACCTTAGATTAAGATTAAGGCTGTTTTTGTGGGATTGGCTGCTGCTGACATATTTTTAACGAAACAGACACGAGAGATTATAGATGACTTGAGGACGAGGAGCAGTATGGAGATGCAACAAGGAGGAAAAGGGAAGCTGGGGGTGGAGACTCACACGCTGGTGCGAATACTCTGCCACAGAAACGATTCAGAGGCGTCTCATTTCCTCAAGAAACAGTACAAAATACCTACCTCTCACTAGCCTTGGTATGAACGATCATCCTCCCTCCCTTTTGCTCAATCTTTCTCGTATATTTCGTTTTCGATTTCTGTTTTGCTTGATTTGATACCATTTGTACATTTGAATTTCATATTGATAAGCATAGTTGTACTTTCAGAATTTAAACGAAAGAGATATAACCTGCCTAAGATGCAATCAATAACCACTGCCTCACAAAATGAGCCCACTTGTTTATTAGTATAAATAACATGAAAACATTCAACGAGACTACCTACTCAATCTCCGCACATAACTTAGGAGAACCAGGAGGCATATATGTGACTATATATATATATATAGCGTTTTGGATCAACAAGATGGGTGTGAACACTTACTTGCGCGTAATTTGAGTCATACATATTTAGGTGTTGTGTTATAAGCAAATGAAATCTTTGCACCGCCTTTTGACTGTTCATCCCGAAGATCGTCAAATGTGTTTGCCCACACCCCTATTTTTAGGATAAAAAAAATTCAGACCAGAACAAAACCTACAAAATGAGAAGAACCCTAGACAAGGCACCTTGATATTATAGTCATCCCTTTCGGTCACTTGAAGCAAAAGCTACTGCTTTTGTGGTAGAATGTCCTTGTCTGCAAAAGGATAAACTGCTTGTAACTTGATTGATTTCTAACATCAAGGGTACTAAAAACAAGGAAAAATAGCATAAACAAACCTGTATTTCAGAAAGATAAGTCTCGTTTTCTTCATGTTTAGCTTTCAAGATCTCCGAAACAGAAAAGACCAGCCCTTTCACAGATAATGGCATGCATTCAAGCGTTAATTGCCGTTTTGAACCTTCCAACTTCTGCCTTAAATCAGCAATCTCAGCTTCAACAGCACCCAGCATTTTGCTGCCTTAACTTGCAATTCCAGGTTTTGTTCATCAAGGTAGGATGTCAGACTTTGGACATGAGCCCAAGCCTTGTACTCCTGATCCTTGGCTTCAGCAATGTCCCTGCCACAGCAACTTGTACTAAGTGACGCCTACAGTCCACCCACCAAGCATATTTATCTCCATCTAGCGTGTTTCACGCATGACGTGATAACAAGCAAAAGCATTTAAACTGCTTGCTAATTGCAACAACAGTCTATTTATGAAGAAGACTAGCCGAGTACACAAAAGTTCCTCTGTGCTTCCGAAACTGAACTGCAACCTCTGGTGATCGCCATCACCACCATGTTTTTCCTCCTTATTATAAGCACCCACGCCTTCGCTATTCCGGCTATGCCGGCTGCACCAGAAGGGTGCTCAGCCAATTGATCCACGCTTCCTAGGGTTTGGAGGTGGCAAACTGGGTAAACCTCCACCGTCAACTACTCCGAGCGTCGACGTTTCTGTCCCTTTCCGGTAGAAGGTTTACCTGACGGTGGAGGTTCACCCAGTTTGCCATCTCCAAACCCGAGAAGCGTAGAACAATTGGCTGAGCGCGCCGTCGGCACAGTTGCTAATATCACCATCCACATCTCGAAATGAATTCTGATCCTGACGGAATCCAAACTGTTGAACAATCTCTCTACCCAAAATGGGCTTGGATCGGAATTGGCCCAGTAATCAGTTTATTTAACATTTGTTGGCCCACTAAGAAAGTTCCTTTTGACACAACCCATCAACATTTTCTGTTTGGATATGTATTGCATATACTTTAATTTGAATGGTCTTTATCATGTATAAATATGACATACAAATTTATATAACTTTAACACGACGTCTCTGTAACCCTCCGAAAGCGTCAGAAGTTTCCGTCGAGCTCTCTGACACAGCGCCTCTTCCTCCTCGCGTCTCTCGTAACTTGAGCTGATAGATTGCTTTTTCCTTTTCCTCGTCTTCTTCGAGCAGAGAGAATTTTCCGATCTCCGAACGACGGCGAAGAACCTAAAATGGCGGCAGCGTTCACGTTGAGAGGGACTCACGTTCCGCCGAACTCGGCGAACCTGGCGGAGGCTCGCCGCCGTGTGTTTGATTTCTTCAGAGCTGCTTGCAGATCCATCCCTTCCGTCATGGAAATCTACAATCTCCAAGATGTCGTCGCGCCCTCGCAGCTCCGATCCGCCATCGCCGCACAGATTCGGAAGAACGCTAACATCACGAACCCTAAGGTAGTTTCGTTTCTCGCAACGGTCCCTCCCGCTTCGGAAATTTTCGTATCTGGTGGCGAATTCGAGGGATTTGTTTTGGTTACATATAGTCCCGGGATGCAATTTTCGGTAGTATTAATGGATCTGTTTCTGATGGGAGAAGATTGCGGTTGCCGCATTAACGAGGCAGTGATCATTGATTGTCAATGTGATTGTTTCTCTTTAGGGGTTTAGTTTATATGGCTATGAACTTATCTCAGAAAGATTGTTTCTACTGTTTCTAGCACTTTTGATTTAGTTTCTTAGCAATCTGAGTTGGACTTGGGTGCTGGCCTGTCGCCGTTTGGATTTGGGTGCCAATAGTTTATGAATATGAAAACCCAGATGGATAAAGTTCGATCTGATAAAAGAATAATAGCATGGAAGCAGTAAGAAAGGTGGAAGCTTTACTGGTTTACTTGATGTTAGAAAAATCAGGTCGTATGATAAATGCCTTAGGATTTGCTTGTATGGAAATGTTTTTTGAGTTTTGTACAGCGACAACCTTGGCTCGAGAATATATATGTTGAACCTTGGTTCTTCTTTTCATGGTTTCTCTTCTATGAATATCTTTTGCTTCTTCTTGAATGCTATCTGGGTTTCTTTGCTTGCACAGGTTATTGATATGCTTCTATTCAAGGGAATGGAAGAACTGACGAATGTTGTCGACCACTCAAAGCAGCGTCACCATATAATCGGGCAGTATGTGGTGGGTAGTGAAGGGCTTGTGCAGGATTCTGGAAGCAAGGATTCCGATTTTCTCAAGAACTTCTACGCCAGCAACTACTTTTGAACTGGTGATGTTTCTCTTCAAGTAAGTTCAATCAATTTAAGTTGGTACTTTCCGAGGAAAATAATGAAACATAGACCTTTCACATTTGTTACTCCTCTCCTTGATCAACCCTCTCTTTTCGAACCTAACAAGTGATGATTCACCGTTTGTGTCTTGTAATAACTTGTTTTGCAACAAGTCTTAGATCTCTAGCTTGGGGTTTAAAGAGGCTGATACTGCAGTATACCAAAACAAGATCTCTTGATTATCTTCGAGTGTAGGTTTACAAGAACAAGTTTATAAGCATGGGCAAGGTACATAAACAATGGAACTAACTATGTGTCAACATTATAATGGTGGTGCTTATTATTATGTTGAACAATCAAGATATAAGAGACACTGGCTACACTGCTTGATATCCTATCCTATGCATGATGGGTTCTGACTAAGATCACAACCTACACAAATCTTGAGTCCATGGAAGGTTAGAATTAGATGCTCGACGAGTTGGAGGGCATCTTCTTCAATCATATCAAGATTCCGACAGTCTTCTAACCCGACAAGAGTCATCATATGGTTTTGGATCAGCAGAGAAGAGTAACAGAGCAGCAGGGCAAGCCATAAGGAGCTAAGAGCATGAAGCCGCGAGAACAGACGAGAGCACGAGCTGATTGTCAATATTCTTAGCATCTGTTGCAGCGTTTGTAGCCGCAAGTTGTCAGCCTGCAATCACCCATTCCATGAAATTGCCTCTCAAATAGCCAAAGCAGCTAAAACAGGCACTAGGGGTGAACACGGGTTTGGTATCCGAGTTTTTTGGATTATTACCTTGTCCACCGATGTGAAATAATGCTCCAAATTCAGAGAGATGGGAGGAGTTCTCAGTGAAACTGATAAAGAACTCATCAAAGTACAGGTAAAGATATTTAAAGAAAAGTGTAATCCCAAAACATCAATGAAATTTCGCAACTTAAACTGCAAAACGACCGTGAATAATACAGGAATCTTGGTGTTAACGAAAATTCAGAAGTGCGTCAAATGTGGAGATCACTTGTAAGAAACAGCAACCATATTTCCTCTTAACAAACCTGAAATGCAGTAAGGTCCGTATGAAAGCAACCCATTGAGTGGCAACATCTAGAACAGAATGCTATGGTACTCTATCCAAATCAGATATAGTCACATGTGGTCGATTCTATATTAAGCCGGTTTCAACCGCAGATTGAGGAACTCCCAAGTTTCAGGCATTTAGTCAGAGTCAACGGGCAAAAAGGTGAAGACATGGTGGAAGTGAAGTAGCTTGCACTCAAGTGTCTCTGTGTGGAATGCAGGCATAATTCCATTGATTGATCATGGGTTCTTGAACACTCAATGACCCTGAAGTAGCTTCTTCACTAGTTGAGCCTAAGTTCAAAACTCTCCAACCTGAGTCAAGCGCGAAAGAAGGATGTTCAGCAAACCTTGGGCTAGAATTCTACTCACATTGACAGAGAAAACTTTTTAAGCTTCCATTGACTCACCACGGATACAGCGTTTCCATTAACAGAAACTTCAAAAGACGCATAATTTGAATCATATATCAACATCGAAGCATAGGAATTCCTCACTAACGCGTCAAAAAACCGACGATTTGGTTCCTAGTGAAGCTAAACAAAAGGCCAAAACCCTTTTAAGACTTGACAAAGCCAACTGGGTCATATCTTCTAACGGCCAAAACGCGGAGTATAGGCAGATTTTGAACAAGAAACCTCGGCTAAAAACCCTAGAGCCTTGCTTGGGCTTGGGCATGGGCAAGCAAGCTTGAAGAAGAAGAAAAATCCCCTGGAAAAATGAAATCTTTTGCCGAAGCTAAAGCTATTCGCAAGGGGGGGACACGATCAAGAACTCCAATCTCCAAGACGTCGTCTTGTCTACGAATCCACCAGTTCCCAAGAACAGAACAAAAAAGGGTACTGTCAAGTTGTTGTTTTTTATTTTGTTTCAAAGTCTTTACCTTTTCCTTAGTGGATAATAAGCGAAGACGATTCCGGGAACTGGGGTTTGGTGAAAATGCCTGATGTTGCAGTAACTTTCCATGGCCTCACTCGATTTCCCACTTTTGACAAAAACAAACACCTAATAGTTTCTTCTCTTGTCTCTCTCTCTCTCTCTTCCTTTTTTGCTGATAATTTCTCTCTCTTAATTTTGGAAAATGTCAGAAAAAAAAATCAGAGATTTTGATATCAAAAGATTTATGGAAAAGCTTTTAAAAATCAGAGATTTGGTAGGACTATTTTTTTTTTTTTGAAAATTTTAATTTTTACATCCGATTGCGATCTCTTTTATTTTATATTATACTTAAGTTTGGGTTCGGTTAGGATAACTATTTACACACAAAAAATTATTTTTATTATTAGAGAAAATGACATTTTCCTATACCAACTTTGCAAAATGTGACCTTTTCCTACACGAATTTTTAATTTGACAAAAAACTACACCAAATTATCAAATGTGCCAAATTGATACACGAACTACCCAATTTAACTGCAATTTTCTACACAATCCGAAAACGGTGTTAAGTGTCCGTTAACCGCTGACGTGGCACGCCACGTGGCGGCTGACATGGCACGCCACATAGATTTTTTTTGCCACATCAACATGCCACGTCATATTTTTAAAAAAAATTCCCATGCCACGTCATATTTTTAAAAAAATTCCGAAAAATATGAAAAAAAATCGATTTTTTTTTAATTTAAAATAAAATAAATAAATAGCAATATATATATATATATATTCAAATATATTCATATCTATATACAAATAAAAATATAAATATATATACAAAATAAAAAACATACACATATATATACAAACATCTATACAAA